AAAAAACCCGGGCAGGGAAAGCCGAGAGAGAAAGTAGCCGAGCCGCAGAGCCGGAACCGCCACGGTTATACGCGCGAAAAACTCGCTGTAGACTTCAGCTCAATTTGTAGACACGCGGAAAGGGCGGGCGACGGTCCCCCCCCCGCTGCCTGTCCCGTCCACGGGCCAGGGCAACACGAGGGAGCAGGGACGCCGTGGCTAAAGCCCGCTTCGGGAAGGAGGGAAGGGACGCACCGCCTCCGGAGGCGCGGGGAAGGAGGAAGGAGCTCGCGAGTCTGCGGCGCTCTGAGGGGAACGCCGCGGCCGCCGCGCCTCCTTTAAGCGCGTGTCTGCGCCCGCCTGCGACTCCTTCCTTCCAAGGGGGGCGCTTCTTGCTCTTGTCGCCGCGCTTGCATGGGGCGCCAGCGCCTGGCGCTTTCCAGATATGGTCTCGGTGGCGGCGGACGGCTCTCTCTGATCACCGGCATCCGCGGGAGGAGGAAGAAACAATCGAGGTAGAAGAAAGCGACGCGGGGAGCGCTCGAGGAGAATCAGCCAGCCGGGTTGCTGCGGGCGACTCGGTCTGCAGGTAGGTAGGGGGGACGGGAGGATGAGAGCGGGGAGAGCCTTTTGTGTCCGGGCCACAGCGCTGCCTGATAGCTGGGAGGAACCTGGCGGGTGCATCCGTCGGCCCCTGGGATGGATGGCCCTCCTTCGCCCGGTCCTTCTGCCTCTGGGAGTAGCCGGCGCGTTGCAATACAGCCTGGAGCGAAAAATGCGGACGCTTCGCGTCGAATGAATGGAAACGCTCGCTGGGGGGCTAACGGTGGCTAGCCCGGTTGACTGGGCAGCCATCACACAGCAGCCCTCTCCCCCTTCCGTGCTGCCGAGAGCCCACCCATTGCAGCTGTGTGTGTGCTTCTGTGCGTGTGCAAGAGGAGCTTCCGCGTGGCCTTCTCTTGCTCCTCCAGAAGTGCTGAACTGCGAAGCCCATCGCCCTCAGCCAGCAGGCTTTGTGCTCGCTCGCTGCGGATGATGGGGATTGTAGTCAAGATCATTGACCCCCGAGGGAAAAGAAGCACTTCACCTAAAGACCCAAGGATGTAATAATATGTAATAATATTTAGAGGATGGGATGATAGCACCGTTTATGGGATTGAACGGTGTTATGATAAGATGCTCCGTGGAGGTACTGGTTGTGAGAGACCCCCTTTCTTGGAAGTTCTCAGTTAAGCAAGACAGAACCGGGATAGAAAATCGGAGCTAGGCAAGCATCGGGCATGGATGCTAAGTGCCAGACTGGTCCTGTTTAGAAGGTCCACTGGTTCCTTTTCAAGTCTGCCCACTTTTTTTTCCCTTTGCACACATCTCTTTGTAAACACACCCACTTCCCCTCCCATCTTCCCTCCCCTTTCCTCCTCTCCCTTTACTACCTGTGTAGCTGTCCAGGGTAGGAACTTTCAGGGGATTTGTGCTGCTTCTGGGATTCTCCCTTGCATCCTAGGGACCTGTTGCTGCAGAGAAGGTAAAATAAATCCAGCTGGCTGTGGGAATTCCATGTGTGTCTTTTGGAAGAGGGGACCATGTTCAGTCTAGGATTCCTCTGGCAGCCTCTTTGGGCATGTTTTCTCTGTGACAGTGCTGCAGCAAGGCTGATGAATGGTTTGGAGCAGAGATTTGTATTTCCCTCTGCCGTGGCAGGGAGGGAAAGGAGCAAGTGTGTGTGTGTCTCTGTGTGTTTTAAAGGATAGCGGTGGCGGCATAATGATAATAAGAAACTCCTTAGAGAAAATGCGTGGACGCGCGCACACACACTGCAACAAATTAGAGAGGGTAGTGCAGACTTTGCCATGATTGGAGGGTCTTCCTATGCAGATAACATTGCAAAGAGGGTTTTTTAAGTGCAGTTTTTAAGCAAACTCTCTAGAGAATCATCATTTTCCTACTCTTACCAGCTGATTTGATTTGATCGTCTGCGGAAGGGGGAGGAAAAGCATGGGATCTGCAAAGGGAGGCTGTGGGTGTGCTTCCTATTCTGGGGAAGAAGGGGAACAGCAAAGAAGAAATGGTAATCTTAGCATATTACAGTACAGCATCTCGCTGATAAAGACAAAGGGAAGGATAGGTTGATTTCTACCCAAAAAAGCACTGCTGTGAAAAAACAGTGAGCAAGCATGGATCCAGGTAGCCCTTTCCAGGGTGTCTGCAGAACACACCCACCGAAAGGAATCCCCCTTCCTGTGCTCCTCCCTCCTCATCCTACAGTCTCTAAATGGAAGAGTGGTTGAATAGCGCTGCTGCATTGTGGAACTGCTAAGGGGCTGGGGAGGGGGCATGGCTGGGCTCCCTTCGGCTGGGCGATGTGAATGCAGTGCTTCTCCCAGACCTAGGAGGAGGACTGTAGGAGAAGGGCCAGGATACAAAGGGAAAGTGTTTCACATTCTTCCAATCTGTCAGGAAAAAAATCCCCATAGCTGCCTTTTCTCAATTGTGGTCCGACTTCAGTGTGATAAAGCATTAAATTAGCACTGAGTCCACAAAGGTAGATTTGCATAGATGTAAACCTGCAACCAAGCCAAGTGCTGTAACATCACCATGCTTTCACCAAATTGTAGTATCCATGACTGACACTTGAGGGTGGTTTTCAGCCCTGCCCCAACCATGCTGAAGCTCACGGATGACAATGTGCACAATATTCCTCTCATATAAAAGTATATGTTAAATATGTCTGTTTCTAGTGCAATGCTTGAAGTGACATCATCCAAAGTGTCTGCAGGTACTTCTTTAAGCAAATAACCAGCAATTGCCATGTCAGTTGTATGCTTGCATGCATGAATACAGTAAAGAAAACGAATCTGTACCCAAACATGCAGTTTTAGTAAAGTCCGCTTCTGAGATAATGTTTGCTATACAATTAGGTACAGAATGCAGGAGAGAAAAAGAAACAAGAAGATACAGTACAAAAATCCAAAGAAAATGCAGAACTTAAAGAGAATGTCAGTTTTTTACTATAGTATGAGATCAAGTTGAGGATTAACTAAGAAATGTTATCATGTTGCCATGGCTTACTCCAGTTTTCTTCATTTTTCCACAACAGTTACTCAGCCTTACAAGCAAAAGCAAACTGCTGTCTAAATCTTGTTAATTTTGCTTGAATTAGCACATTGGACATTTTTTTCCCTGTGCAGTAAACTCACTAGCTTTCTCTCCATATCCCTTTTTCCCTTTAAGGTATTTGTTTAAAATTTTTCTTAAAGTAAATAATTAGAATCACCTGCAGCCTTGAGTTTGTGAAATTGGTGTTATTTGGATTCTATTATTATATATTATTGTCAAGGAAAACATTGCATAGGTGGCAGCATCTTATTAATAATTTTAGTTTTATTCTGTAATAGCCTGGTTAATTTTTTTATCTTGGCTCTATGAGACACTTGGACCATCTGAGGTGGCTGTAGGTGGTGACAGAAGACTGACAAACTTCTGTAAATTGATAAGAAACAAGCTATTAAAAAGGAGTGATAACTCCATGGATATGTTTAATGTTGCTGTTTTCTTCATTCTAACTTTATAGATAGTCTGCTCAAATACATTCATGTATACACAATCAATCTCTTTATGTTTGTCTTCTCTCCTTTAATCAGCTAGGTAGATGGCTGATCTTTTCCTCCCACTTTCCATCTGTTTGATCTATCTGTAATCTATGCCAATTTCACATTTGTCCAATGTATTCTGAAAATAAGAGTCTCTTATAATATACCAAAAACTAATACCCAGCAATGGATGGTGCCAGACCTCCCACACTTTTCTGTGTGATTGTATAGTTCTCATTCCTACCTTGGGGAAAAATGTAGAGTGCCATGTTGGCATCCTGTAAAGAAGTTCCCAGGCTATCATTACTTTACTGTGCATTTATGTGGTCATGAAATACCAGGATTTTGTTCTATGGTTTACCTAACACAATTCTGATAATGGCCAGTCAGCTGCCTCAAGGACAAATGCTGGAAAGATTCAGAGGTATGGATTTTTAAAAAAAAATTAGCTGTTGTAGCTCCTGAAAGATGAAACATTAATATTTGAAATATCCTGGGCATCTAAACATTTGATTTCAGTTTGTAAGAATACTTTTGCTTATTCTATTTAGGGAAGATCATAAACAGGGAACATAATCCACCCACTGCCATTTTTGCCCAATAGCTGGTACTTAGATATATGCTGCCTTGAAAAAGGGACATTACGACTTTTGCTTTTATGTGGCCTTTGACAGCTGTTTGGAACTCTGATGTGCTCCAAAATAGCTTGAGAAGGCAACTTTGGTAGTGGTGATAATTCCTTTCTTGAGCTTGAATGGTGCTGCTGCTTATTATAACAATGAGCAATTATATACTATAGTACAAGTATCTGTAATGTTTCACATGTCCTATTTCAAAAATATTTAGGGATGAAAGGAGCACAATGGGAGTGGAGTATAAAACTTATAGGCAGTAACCAATGCTCTAGGCAGCAGCTGGCTTTTTTAAGCCTGGGGAACTGCCTAAAACAGTGTTTCTCAACCCCAGCAAGATGTGTGGACTTCAATTCCCAGAATTCTTAAATCATCTTAAGGTGGCTGAGGCTGAGAAACACTGGCCTAAAATATGCTTTCCCTAATGTGGTAACTTCAGTATTTTGGGGCTGGAACTCCAGAATTCCAATTCTTAAAGTTGGAAAGCTGCGTTATGTGGTGACATAACACTTCTTTGGCACGGTATTAACCTCAGTCACAAAACATTGGCCTTGATGGCTTCTGTGTAAAGAAAATGGCAGGTGCTTACTAGAAGTTACTGACAGGAACACCACAAGTTTTATTTTATTCTTCTCTTCTTCTGACAAACCTTGGGCCAAAATTGGCAGTTTATTTTATATATGGCTTTTCCTCCTAAAGTTACTTGGAGACATGTATAAAATTGTATGGAATAAAAACAGTATAACAAGAAAATGTATTTAGTTGTATGATGACAGTTAAAAACATTAACAAAAATACAAATATATAGAAAATGTTTTTTGCGTAGAATATGCTTTTCTTCAGTCCATTTCTTCAGCAAAGGGACTGAATTAGCTTTGTCCAAATTAGCTGGTTCATTTGACACAGATGGATCATGGCATGCTTCAGCTGAATGTTCATGTGTTCTTCAGTACCTCCAGATCTGTGCTTTCTTGGTTCAGGTTGAGATTACATTTGAAAGATTTCTTCATGAAAGTAGTACCTTTACTAATATGGTACAGTCTTAGACACAGGTTGCCTTATTCTGATTACAACTATTGGCATGCTCTTGAAAATGCAGCTATTATTTGCTCGGTTTGTGTGTTGTGCCAAACCATGGTTTATTTAACCATGTTAAGTTAATAAACCATAACCATGTGGATTCATATCACATACTAGGCCATAAGCCATGGGATAGAATCCAGAATAACAGGGTTCATACAGCACACAAGCCAAAAACCAAGCAATCCACATTATGGCTTAATGCAGTGTGCAAATCTGGCCATGCAGTTACTGGAACAGATAGATGCTGTGGAGTGGAGAGGTGATGGTAGTATCATTTTTTTTTC